CGTACGTACGTACGTACGTACGTACGTATGTATGTATGTATGTAATGTATGTATGTATGTATGTATGTATGTATGTATGTATGTATGTAATGTATGCGTACATGTTCAAACAGAGAGAACCAAACGTGCACTACTCACATGAAGCGGAAATGGTCCGATCCGTCCCACTCGTAGAACGGTATCGAATACGTCACCGTCCAGCGATTACTCAGTCCGCAATCGAAATAGGGACTACTCCAGACTCCGTCCACATCCGTAACCAACCGCAGCGGAACCCCGCCGCGCACGGCCCGGAAGTTCGACGCGCCCGAACCGCTGTACTTCCGGTCCTTCTGCAGCAGCCGACTCGGGTCGTGCGCCTTGTACTTCTGCTCGCGAAACCATCCGTTACCGACCGTACTGTTGTCGGTGTAGTTGTAGGCGAGGCTGAGGTCTTCAACCTTCGTTTCCCCACCACCGCTGCTACTGTCCTCCTGGCGGTACGCGTACGCGCAGAACAACTTGCGCGTTTTATCCGGGTAGACGTCCTGATCGAAGGCGATCGCGGCGCCGTACAGCGTCGAGTCGGTCTCGATGAGGGAGCCGACCATCGCGTAGTAGAGCGCGTCGCTGCGCAGCAGGTTCACCGACGTCGACGTCTGGAAAAGATTGTTGAGAACGTTCGCCGTCTTGATCGCCGACGTCGCCTGCGACTCGAAGCGCAGGTACGACTGTCGCGGGAACTCGTAGCCGTACTGCGTCGCGAGGGACGCGCGCGTGCAGTTCTCGGCTGCGTTCGTCTGCACGCGTTCGATGTACGTCCAGATATCGGCGAGCAGATCCTGCTGTCGCGACGACGCAGCGTCATCGTCTGTCGTCGTCGCTGTCGCCGCCGCGTCGCCGCTGCGCGTGCCGCGGTATTTCACCTCTAGAGGCGCTCCGTTCGCGCTGTCGATGTGTCTCAAGTAGAGAAGGAAACTTTCGCCGTAGCGGTGGTGCGCAGAAGAACTGCCTAGGATCGCCTGGATTCCACTCACGTAGAGCAAGGCGAAACACAGCACGAAGTCGCACATCGGAATCTCCATATCTGTGGGTGGGTGGGGTGGGGGAGGGGTCGGTGGGGGCGGTGTGTCACCAGAGAGAGTCGGCACGTGGGGGTCGGGTGGGTCTGGCGGGCGGGGAGGACGCACTACGCGATGACGTCGTCCGAGTGTCGCGAGATGGCGCTGATTTCATGACGTCAGAGATCGCCTGCAACAAAAAAACAAAATGGCTGTTTGAGTTTGATAATGCGAGAGAACAGTAGCGTAGTAAATCCTATCCCGATGTTACCCCAATATATTGTGGCACCTATTGCGTATAAATAATAAGTAATAACTAACTAGTAACCTGTAACAAGAAACAAATGCACTGTTTATGGTTGATAATGAGACACGGCAGTAGTGTAGTCAGTTTTATTTTCGATGCTGCTCCGAATATATTGTGGCACCAATTGCCCACCAATAATTTTCACTAATGATTAACCTGTAACAAGAAAGAAACAGACTGTTTATTATTCATAAGGATTCAACTCATAACGGCAGTGAACTTGCAAATGTTGCCATCAATAACATCATGCTATCCCAATATATAGTGTGGCACTATTTACCCCCAATAACACACACTAACGGTTGCTTAAAGCCGTACTATGCGCATCCAAACGCTAATTTCTCCAGTACTAGACTAGCAAATACTTCGTGTCATGCATAATCACACTACCTTAAGGCAAAATAAACTCTAGTTCCTCCCATTTCACTGCGCGTTTGCATAAAACCCACAAGAAAGAGGTGCGAAATCTGGTAATCTGGCGCCAACGCTAAATTGTTTGCCAAACAATTTAGCCTCGAAGTGGTTAGGTGACGTCACATGTTTTAATCTTTGCTACACCCGTACCGCTGTACCGCAACACCGCTGTGCGGTTGCCTGGCAGAGCAACGCAAAATGTGTCAACAACATCGGAGAATTTGAACAACATTGTAGGTATTTTTAAATGCCTTTTATAAGACAACGCGCAGTGAAATGGGAGGAACTAGAGTTTATTTTGTTATAAGGTAGTATGATTATGCATGACACAAAGTATTTGCTAGTCTAGTACTGGAGAAATTAGCGTTTGGATGCGCATAGTGCGGCTTTAATACTTGTAAATTATATCCCTGACCCTACTCCAATATATTGTGCCACCCCCTACCCCCAATAACACACACTAACGGTTTCATAATACTTGCTAGTTTTAACCACAATGCTAGCCTAATATAATGTGACACCCACTGCCCCAATAACACACACTAACGGTTTCATAATACTTGCAAATTTTATCCACGACGCTACGCTAATATAGTGTGCCACCTCTCACCCCCCAATAACACACACTAACGGTTTCATAATTATTTTACAACCGAAATATTAACCCCTCGATAGCGTTACGCTGCTGTACGCATTCCTGTAGCTTTCGACCGTCATCACTAATGATGAACTGTGTATATTAAATTATGCAGCAATATCCGCGCCTATCCGCCTCTCAGGAAACCCTATCTATTTAGCCTCGATGCGCTCCATTATCACTTATAGATGTTAATTGTTAGCGAAACTGATCAACTCTCACTAGCTAGCGTTTGTAGTTAAATTCGTTTGGCACTCGTGCTAATATATATGTATATATATATATA